GTTGTGGGGGCGGCGGCAGCTGCGGGGCTGGGCGGCTGCCCCCGGGGTAACCCCAGCAAGAGGGGGGCCCGAGGACTGGCAGCCCCCCTGGGCTGCCACCAGTCACCAGTCACCCAGGGGCTGGCTGACCTCTGGGCGCGCTCGGTGGCCGCTTTCAGCCAGGTTTGGCAGAGGTCGGAGGTGCCGGGTCCTTCCCGGGAGAAGGGCAGGGAGGAGGAGGAGGAGCTGCAGGCGGGGCCCACCTTCATCAGCCGCTGGAGCAGCCGGCTGGGTTGCGAGCGTTGATCCAGCACGGCCGGTCCCGCAGGTGCCGGGGGTTTTGCGGCTCCTCCCGGGCACGGAGCGGGGCTGGATCCGGCGCTGGGTCCCGTCGAGGCAGCCCCGGCATCTGGTGGGGCTCGGCCGTGCTGGGGGCTCGGCTGGGGACGCTCTCTCTGCCAGCACCGATGGGGTTTTGGGTGTCACCCATGGGGTCTCCGCGGGGGTCTGTGATGAGCAGCAGAGCTGCTCTCCCGGTTTTGACCCATAAAATCCAAAGTGAAGGTCCCTCTCTGGGGAAGAGGGGTCATACTGTGGCTTGAGGCAGCTGGAGAGTCAAATCTCAGTGCCAGGAAGCTGGGGGTGCTGGGGTGTCCCCATGGGAGCATGGTCACATCCTGGCATCCCGAAGCTCTCAGAGCTGGCTCCACCTGGCAGTGGCAGAGGGAATCCTGGAAAACCAGCTGGAAAATAAATGAGGTTCAGGAGAAGCAGAGCCACCCTGGGTGCCCGAGGACAGCAGCAATGCTGGGGCAGGTGCCAGCAGGGAAAGGGGCTGCCAGAGCAAAGGGTGACTTTTGGGTGAGGGGGCATTTCAGATAGTGTTGGGGATGGCAGTGCTGTGACCGGGTTGGTTTTTGGGTGCTGGAGTCTGTGGTGTTGGGAAGAGAGGAGATAACAGCTCAGTATCCCTGGGGAAGGCGCGGGAAGCGGCTGTGCCAGGCTGGGCTGGTAACAGGCACATGCCGTGGTCGGGTGCCTGGCCCAGCCCTGGGGGAGAAGGTG